CCTCCTCTTCCTCCTCATCTCCTCATCCTCCTCCTCCTCCACTGCCTCCTCCTCCTCATCCTCCTCCTCCGTCTCGCTCGCCACGAATACACCAGCATCCAGCACTAATGGTAGTCTATGGGCCGGCGGAGTGAGCGAATCGATTAGCCTAAATTCTGGCAAGGGCCTATGAAGAGGGAACCCGGAGCTAGGGTCCATTACAACCCCCGCCGACTCGAACCCAACACGTATTCACACGAGTGGCCGACTCCCTGCGCTGGTCTGCCTCCCGGGCTGGAAGCAATGCCCAGACCACGGATGAAGGTTGGGACGTTCCTTGGCACGTGCACGACAGCGAGCTCACGCACGCGCGGGGGAATGCGCGGAGGGGGGCGGGAAGAGGAGAGAGGCCAGGGGCGGCGGGCCGAGGTGGGGACCTGTGCAGGTTGTACGCGAACGTCAGGCAGGTTTGCAGCACCTGGCCCGTGTCCAGGAGGAGAAGGAGGAGGGAAGGATGGAGGGAGGAGGGACGGAGGGGGGAGGGAGGAAGGACGAGGGAGAGAAGGAGGGAGTGAGGAAGGATGAGGGAGAGGAGGAGGGGGGGTGAGAGGAACGGAGGGAGGGGGGTGAAGGGGAAGGGGAGTGTCCTGGAGAACTCTGGGCGCAACAGGCCACGCGGCTCAAGAACCTGCAGGGCCCATGGCGCCGTCCGACGCGCACGATCGCGCCGAATGACGCCGGCGGCCACCTCCCAAACGGGGGCGCTGGACTCTCGTAGCCTGGGAACAAACCCCGCCGAATCCTCCTTTTCCTCCTCCTTTTCCTCCTCCCTTTCCTCCTCCTCTTCCTCCTCCTTTTCCTCCTCCTTTTCCTCATCCTTTTCCTCCTCCTTTTCCCCCCCCTCCCCCTCCTCCTCCTCCTCCTCCTCCTCCTCCTCCTCCTCCTCCTCCTCCTCCTCTTCCTCCCCCTCCTCCTCCTCATCCTCCTCCCCTGGAGATTCATTCAACCCCTTCTTGGAGCGTCCGATGCGCTCCTGAATATTAAAGTGCCCGGGGGGGCACGGTGGCCGTTCGGCCGCACAAGGAGCAGAAGCAGAGTGAATGCGCAGGCCAGGAAAGCAGGCAATGACCCTGCTGAAGCTCAATGCAGGGCATTTTTCCATCCATTGGACTTTTGGTTAATAGGAGTTTGAATGCATGATCAGTTTATGAATTAATGTATGCATGAACTCATCGTTGTTTTGAATACTAAGTCCCTGCATTCTTAATACATGATCCGCACGCGTAGCATTTATTAAAAACGGCACTGTACCCCAACCGTCATCACCCCGCTCGCCCGCACGACCCCCTTGCCGAACCAAATCCTGCGCCGAGCCGACATCCACGGCGGGGCCGGTCTGGCCGCGCGCCCCCAGCACGCTCGCCGAGGGAAAAGTGTGCGAACAAAACGAACAAATCCAAACTCGGCTACATCTGGCCATCGCTCGGACGTCCATTCCCTGTGCTTTTTTTGGTTGCGTGCGTGGTTTTTTCGCCAAATGATCAAGGATGATCCTCGATGGCCCTCGCCGAGAAAAAATGCACACGTCCGAGCGATGCCAGGACATTTAATTGAGCAATGCGAGCTCCGAGAGAGAGCGGCCTGAAACTTGGCGGTTTCCCGGCGGCCCGATCTGGGCCTCTCCGCGGTCCAGGGGGCAACGCGGAGGGACTTCGGCCTGGGCGGCCCGCCGGCGGATCGAAACACAGGCGGCATCCCAACGGTCAGTGTCTGGCACTCGCTGACCCCTGGCGAGTTCCGCCACTGGGACCCTCGGTGAAGCTCCCTATGGGGCCACGAGACGCTGTACTGGGCGCAGGGACCGCATGCGAGTTCTGCCACTGGGACCCTCGGTGGAGCTCCCTGTGAAGCCGCGAAACGCTGCACTGGGCGTAGGATACGCATGCGAGTTCCGCCACTGCGACCTTCAGCAGAGCTCCCTATGAGGCCACGAAGCGCTATACTGGGCGCAGGAACCGCCTGCGAGTTCCACCACTGGGACCTTCGGTGGAGCTCCCTATGGGACCACGAAACGCTGTACTAAGTGTGGGAGAGGTGGCGATGACGATGATGATGATGATGATGATGATAATGATGATGATGATGATAATGATGATGATGATGATGATGATGATGATGATGATGATGATGATGGATGATGATGATTGATGATGATGATGATGATGATGATGATGATGATGATGATGATGATGATGATGATGATGATGATGATGATGATGATGATGATGATGATGATGATGATGATGATGACGATGATGATGGTGACGATGATGCTGATGCTGTTGATGATGATGATGATGATGATGACGACGACGACGACGACGATGATGATGATGACGAGGATGATAATGCTGGGAGGAGGGAGGAGGGGGAGGAAGGAGGAAGAGGAGACGCGGGGCGCAGTCTCTTCAAAACGAGGGCCCAGCACCACAGGATGGTTGGGAACAAATTCTCTCGCCAACAGTCGTCTGAAAACTCTGCAGCCAATTTACTAATGGAGCGGGGATCGTCTTATGGGGCTCTTGCCATCACGCCGCGCACATGTGTCGGAAAAAATTGCAACGACTTCATGTATGGATGGAGATGGTGTCCGGCATGCGGCTCTCGCCTGAGCGTGGCGAACATGCTTGTTTTAAAGATTGCAAAGGAATCACACGTGGTTCTCGCCCTTGCGCCGAGCAATCGCCTTAAAAGGCTGCTGCAGCATCATGGAGAGTCAGGGTGGTTTTCAAAAAATGACTCTCGCCTCAACGAAGCACACATTCGTCCTACACGCTCGCAATACGGCCCCGCGCCGACCACATAGTGTTCTCTCCTTCCACGCGCACTCGTCAATTGTGCTGGTCTCTCAAGGGGTTTGCTCCATGCCGTGCAAGAAAGGCCTTGTAAGGGCGCATGCGGAGGGAGCTTGCGACGGGAGGGTGTGTTGCAGAATCGTTGAGGCATCTTGGGTTTACTCTGGTCCTCCTCCTCATCCTCCTCGTCCTACTCCTCCCCCTCTTCCTCTTTCTTCTCCTATCTCGGGGACAAGCTGACCCGGGTCAGGGTCAGCACAAACCTGGGTCAACCAGGGCCGTGTCACGTGTCGCGAACGCGGCCCGTCCACGAAGTGGCTCTCAAACCCAAGTCAGCGATAAGGAAACCAAGCGGTATCGATACCGCCACTCCCCGGACCTCTCCCAGCGTGCGTTCTGACCAGAATCTCGAGGCGAACGTCGCAGTGGCGGCAAGGGCCTCCCCAGGAGGCGCAGAAAGCGGGAAACGAGGGAGAGGTACCTTCTCCTCCTGTAAAAAAGCGGAGAGAGAGGGGGGTGGCCAGGTCCCCGCGGCTCCCAATGGCCAGGGCACCCACTGGGCACCGCCGGGCGCCTGCGCTCCGCCCCCCCCCCCCGCCGCAGCACCACCACCCCCGGCCTTGGAGAGGTGCTTGTACAGGCTCTCCCTCTCGGTGAGCAGCGTCTCGCGCAGGCAGCCGTCCAGGTACGCCTCGTGGCTCTTCAGCACCTCGTCCACGGAGTCCGCCTGCTCCAGCGAGGCGAGGAATCGGTGGGAGTGCGGCTCCAGGACCTCTACCGTGATGTAGTAGATGTAGTCGCGGCAGAAATGCAGCATGCGCTGGCGCAGCGAGTACGACGGGCTGAAGCTGGTCTCGAGCCCCAGCTCCTTGGTGTACTGGTGGTCCACCCACACCTCCACCAGCTTCCGCTCCACGTAGCGGCAGTAGAGCAGGTGCCTGAAGATGACCTGGTACTTCAGAAGCAGCGCCCTCGAGAAGACGATGGAGAGCGGCCAGGAGGTGCGGTACTTCAGAGTCACGCAACGAATGCCCGAGCCCTCGCCCGCGACGCTGAGCCCCGCCGCGACCCCGGCGGGGCCCGCGTGGTGCGGCGAGACGCTCGGCGGGGTCAGGCGGGCCGCCGCGGCGTCCGCGGCTGGGGCGTCCGCGTCATCGCTGGGCAGCGCGCTTCCGCGGGTCATCCGGTGGCAGGCGTCCTCGATCCTGAAGGAATGCATCGCGCAGGAGATGTCGTCGCGGTAGGCGTCGTTCGCCGCCGAGGAAGCGCGGACAGCCAGGTCCAGCAAGCCTTCCAGGCGCGAGAGGGCCACCTCCGCAGCCGGCTGCTCCAGCTCCTCCGCAGCGGTGTCCAGGAGGTGCCCGAACCAATCGGCCTTGCCGAGGAAGAAAAAGCTGCGCATGGATCTCAGCCTGCCCGGCAGGTCCAGCCCCTCAGGCGCGGGCTTCATGAACAGCTCGAGCAGGGCAGACGACGCCCTGCGGTAGGCGGCGTCGATCGCCTCGGTGTAGTCGCGCCGCCTCCTCGAGTATCTGAGCTGCCCACGGCTGGGCGCCTCTGGGAGCTTCTTGCCCGGCGCCGCCGATGCGAAGACGTGCAGGTACTTCCCGGCGTTGAGGATCCGGTCCTTGCTCTGCCCCAGGAGCTGGGGAACCGCGCGCTCCTCCAAGAGGAAGTGCTTCTGCCAGAAATCGGCCGCGGGCCCGCCAAACTTCTCGTCCCGCACTCGTGGGCTCTCGGAGACGAAAAACTCGTAGTAAGGGTCGTCGAGACGGCCCTCGTAGATCCACTTCGAGATCATGTCGAAGTACGGCTGGGAGGCCTGCTGCAGAAGGAACTCGCACAAGTCCTGCGCAGACGTGAGGCTGCTGCGGGCCATGACCTCCTCGATGCCGTTGAGGACCGACCCGCCGGTATGGCCGTATACCCGCGACACTATCCGGTGCAGAACCGCAAACGTGTCCATGGACGGCTGCAGGTGGTACCATAGCTTTGCGATGGTGAGATTGCCGCCCCAGAGGGCCGACTCCAGCTGCCCGAGCTTGATCGAGAACTCCTTTGGAAGGAACGGTAGAGTTAGAACGCCCAGGGTTCGCTAGGGACTGGTTCCCCCCAAACCAACGAGAACCCTTCCCAAACCCTCCCGAAGCCCTCCGAATAGCCTCCCGGAATCCTTCCCGGAGCGTTTTTGGGGGGGTTCGGGAGGGTTTCGGCTGTTTTGAAAGGAACAGTCCCTCGCGAACCCTGGACGTTCTAACGTTAGAGGGGGACTGGCTCAGGGGGGAAGCATCGATCTGGCATGCTTCGGCGATGCATCGCCGATAGATTGGCGGTGGGCCCCGGGTGGCGAATCCGCACGATCCTGGGCGGGGTGGCCTGTCAGGGCCCTGTCGGCGTTCACTGAGCGCCTGGGGGTCGATGCGTCCCTGTCCCCTCACGTTGCCCCACAGCTTTCGGGTCGTAGCTCGGCTCCACGGCGGCCGTTCGGAACGACCTGGGCACCCGCGGCACGCTCTCGGCGAGGCGCAGCCGCTGAAGGCATCCCGAGGCCAGAAAGCCGCCGAGAGCCGACGAAGACGCCCGAAGCCCTCGAGCCTCAACACCCTCGGACCCCCTTCCCCCCCCCCCCCACGTTGACCCCGACTCCTGCAGGAGGTCGCGGAGGGCGGCGCAGAACGCGTGGTTGACGGTCCCGAACTCGCACCTGCTGACTACCTACCAGACCACCCCAACCCAACCCGAAGACCCGAATTTCGGGTTGGGGGGGGTAAGGGTTCCACGCTTGTTTTTTCTATGTTTCCCGACCCCCGCCCCACTAGAAATCGAGGGCAAATCTGAGCCTCGGGGTGGTTTGGTGGGTGGTGACCTGCCGTGCGCGTCCACGAAGCGCTGCACCCCCGCGCGGTGCCCGCAGAGGGGCAGCAGCTGCCCCAGCAGCTGCACGCCGGAGGGGTCGGCCCCGGGAGGCGCCTGCACCTGGCGTCGGGGGGGGGGGGCTCGAGGTACTGGGGGGGAGGGAGAGTTCCTTCTCCTCCTCCTCCTCCTCCTCCTCCTCCTCCTCCTCCTCCTCACCGAGCCCCTTTTGAAAAGTAAGTGTTCCTTATTCAAGCCGCTCACTGTACTGGGGGGGAGCGAGAGGTTCGAGGACCAAGGGCACGTGTCTGTTAGGGTTCGTCCTCTTTGACTCACAGGCAACGAGCCCCTCATCGTCTGGAAGGGGACTTGAGTCAGGATGCCCTGGGCACTGGGGAAAGGGAGCCCCAATGCAGAGGCGGGGACCGCATGTAGCCGACGGGGGGCCACTTGGAGGTGCGAGCAACCCACCGGAGGCAAAAAGACAAGAAGGCCCTTAGGTTTTTGGAGGGTCCCCTGGAGGTCTCCGGGACTGCCCCCAGCGCCCCCGGAGGCGTCTTCAGGCTCGCGGCGACCGTCAGAGACCCCTGGAGGCCGTCTTGGCGGTGGCTCCGAGCCGTCGCGGGCCGCCTCGATGGCCCCTCTGGTGGTGTTCCCTGGTGATCTCGGGCGGCCCAAGGGCGGCCCCGGGCCCTGCCCTGGCCCCGGGCCGCACATTTGTGGTAGGGGTTGCGGCCCCCAGGCCCCCAGGCCCGGTGCGCCGGTGTGCGTATATGTGTGTATCGATAAAGATCGATGCACACGCAACTATATATATATATACACACGTATGTACACGCATCTATAGATCTACATATAAAGATCTATATGTGTATATCTGGGTTGAATGGCTTCATATAGCCGTGAGGCGACCGCGGTGCACCTCGATGTCCGCAGTCCGTCGGCAGCTCTTGAACGGAAACGGCGGCAAATAATCATGAGCAGAAATAGGGAGGAGCATGGTTTTTGATTGCGGCACTCGTTCACGGAGGAAAGCGGAGTGAGAAGGAGGAGGAGGAGGAGGAAAAGGAGGAGGCGGAGGTAAGATAAGATAAGACGAAGGCGGACGGCGTCCAAGATACCGACCGCTAGGATAAAAACAAAACAAATTAAACCAACTCCTCCTCCTCCTCCTCGGCTCGACGGGCGGCCTCCTGCTCCCAGAACGGGGGCGAGTCCACCGTGAGGCCGAAGCAGGCGAGGAGTGGCCCACGCCCCATTGGCACCTGCCAAGGCGGTCCCCTGGGGAAAACGGCTCTGGCGGCAGGCACCGACGCACGCGCCTGGGGACGGTCGAGAATCGCCCGAGCCAAGTCCAGGAGATCACCAGGGACGGGGCGCTCGAGACAACTCACACTCCAGCCGTTGTATTTGGTCAACCACCTGGGAAAAAGCCCCGCGAGCAACCTTGAGCGCTGCTGCTTGAGCCCCTTCCCCGCATTGTGACCATGACACACACGATCGGCGAGCTCCCTGACCCCGCCCCACGCGTAAGCACCACACGACATACAACAAATCATACGCGGGGCGGAGACAATGGAGGCTCCCGTCTGATCACAGACATGGCACACTCGCAAATTATGCTGAGACAACCTCATCAAAATTGCAAGCTCAAGATCACACGGCCCCGAATTAGCCACGGCTAAGAGCACGGCTCTGAAACGCACAGCAACGGGGGGGATGGGGCGCTCAAGGGGGCGGCCCTGGCGAGGGCCCAAACCAGGCTCCAGGCGCTTATCAGGCAAGCCCTCCGAGTCCCCCCACCCCCGCTCCCGCATAAGAAGCCCCTGCCGCCCAACCCACTGGCCCAACTCCCGCCCCAAGAGTCGTAAACCAGCGATTTCACGAGCGGCCTGATCGACCGAGGGATGCTTACCCGCCCCTCTCTTCGCGAGGGCGTCGGCAATGGCGTTAGCCTTACGCTCCCAACGAGTGGTGACTCCTCGCCCCACGTCCGCCTCCGCGCAGTGGGCCTTCGTTTTGTGGACAACCAGCCCATCCTCGAAAGCCGAGTGCACAGAGGTCCACATGTGAGCCTGGTCACAACGGGCACTCGTGGAGCGAACTCTCGACCGAGCACAAGAAATCGTAGCTGCACAATCGGTCCACACACCCTCGGGGGACAATGCAATCTGGCCGAGCATCTGATACGCATAATCCTCGCCATCCTTGGCGAGCTGGAGGGGAGCAACATCCCACGGGACGGGGCCGAAAGCTCCAGAGATCATGGCACCAGTGCCATCGACCGAGATCACCGCCCACCCCGCTCTTCTTAGGAGCGGGCCCGAGGGGAAAAGGGCAGAGCCGTCGGTAAAAAGTTTACCAGTTAACAGGCCTCCCTCGGGCCTCCGAATCCAGAAGACCTGGCAGTTTGCGGACACGAGAGGCGGAGGGACCAGCTCCCTGGGAGACGGGAAATGCCCGAAGCAAAAAATTCCCCAGGGTCACCCAGCTGTCGAATTAGCTTGGCTGCAGCTAACGCTTCATCCGACAAGTAATGAGAGCGATCAGCAGCCCAAGCATCACAAACAAATCTACGGTGGAACGTGGTCCCTGGGGCCCCCATGCACAGCCTGCAAAGGTTGCACGACACCATGCCGCGCCGCTGCAGTCGGTCCTGGGTCCAATGAGTCCCCGAGACCGCGGCCCTGAGAGAATTCTTATGGGTCCTGGCCCAGGAATCGGTTTTCCTGGCGAACAAGAAGTCCAGCGGCTGCCAGAACACAGGTCGACACCACGACGACGAACCGACACGAGCCTCGAGGGCACGAAAATCCGACATCTCCCTGGCAGCCTGCTGGGCAAGAGTGGCAACAACCGACGGCGAGAGCCTGAGCAAGCCTATCTGCTCACCCGTCGAAGGAACAATGAGGCGCGCCGATCTCGCTTCCCATCCCAGATCCCCACAAGCAAGCACAAACACGTGAGCAGGGGACGTCGCCCTCGACCACGGGCGACTGGTGGTGGCAAGCGATCGAACAGCGTCCTCAAAAACTGCCTGCAGGATCGTTATGCTGGGGAGTCCGTCCCAAACAGCCCGAGCCCACTCAAAAACTACCTGCTTGAAATACAACGGAACGGGGTCCATTGTTTTACCCTGCTTAAACGTGCGGGGTTTTAAACCCACAGACGCCCCCTTCTTCGCAGGAGCCAGAGACAAGAGGGCCTGAGAGCGGATCCTTTTCAACTGCGACCAAGGAAGCCCCCTCACCGAAGCCCCCCACAACGCCGAGGCCTGAGGACCCGCTCTCTGGATGTGCCCTACAAAAGCCCCAGCGCGCCTCAAAGATCGGAGACGCGTCGACCTACGAATGCAAGTCCTAACTCGGGCGGAGGCAATGGGGGCCAACCTAGACGAGCTCACCTGCCAATCAGTCCCCAGACTCCGAATCACAGCCTTTCTCTGGAATGACGCCTTCCACGCACTGGCCAGTCCCTCAGCAACCCCTTTCGGCGATGCCAGAACCTGTGATTTTTTCTCCGACAGCACAAGACGCAGCCTGCGCAAACCGACGATCAACTTGCTCCCGACGCCGCCCAACACCCTGACGACGTGGAGGCTCGTGCCGACGGTCTGCACACTGATGTCGTCTATCACATTCCTCACCATCGCCGACGGGTGCTCGCTCTCGACCGCGGTGAGCAGGCGGAACAGCAGGACTCTCGCCAGGCACGTCGCGAGCGAGCAGCCCGCCAGCACCGTGCCCGAGGCGTGGAAGACAACGGAGACGCAGCCGTTAAAGGACACCGCGCGCGGCCCCGAGTAGAGCGAGCAAGCCGCTCTACAGAGCCTGGTCGAGAACTTCACAGCCTCCACCTCTGCAAACAAAATCGCGTGACAAATACGCTCGTAGAACTTGTCTAAGTCTGTGGCCAAAGTAGCTGACTGCATGCCCTTACTGCGCGCGTAGTGCGCCATTGTCTGGTGCACCCAGCCAGCTCTGTCGCATTCACGATCACGCACTCCCCAGAAGACTCCAGCTGCGTGCTGGTCCTCCCAGAGCTTGGCCTCCTCACGCCGCACCTTGCCCCAGACGCGCAGGATGGAGCAGATGAGGGCGATCGGCCTTACTCCCGAGCCGTCGGGCTTGCCCAAGAAGACCATCAGCGTCGGCCATCTGGCCGATAACTGCGGGCCGGCCTCCCGCAGCACCATGAGGTCCACGAGCCTCTCCATGAAGTCGTCGTCGAGCAGGTCGAAGGAGCGCGGGTTCACGCAGTCCACCCCACAGCCCACCTGGTGAGGAAAGGAGCGGCAGGCAGCACGAACGCGCTCAGCAGACGGCCTGACCAACACATCAGCCTGCGCGACTGCAGCCTGGATCTGTGAGATGCTCTCCTTGGCGTCTCCCCCGTACTGCAGCCACTCCGTGTGCATGGCCTGCACGGCCGCGTCCCCTTGCAGCGCCCAGCCCTCGGGAGCCGCGGGCCCCGTCACCTGCGGCTGGTCCCTCAGGTACCTGTGAGCACGGCGGCCACCAGCTTTCACCGCAGACTGGGCCCACTCTCTCCACTCCTGCAGCTGCTCCTCGGCCGCCGACTGGGACGCCTCCAGCGCCGCATTGTGAACGTTGGACGCCAGGATAGCCAGATCCTCCCCACCAGCTTCAGCAGCGCTGCGCAGTGAGTGCAGGTCGAACTCTATGGACTTGACCCCCGTCAGCGTCGACAGGTCGAGGTGGTCAAGCTCCTCCAGCAGGCGAAGACGGGTATCGCCACGGACACGGCCCTTGCGACTCTGCTGCCTTCAGACCTGGCCCCTGAGACGCTCCCCTGGTTTAAGGCCTGGGCCACCTTCACGGCCCAGGGGGTCTGCAGGAGCCAGGTCTGTCGACGAGTGGGCCTCAGCTCCAGCCGATCGGACCTCGCAGACAGGCACAGGCCTCCCCCACTCATGAGGGTAATCCGCGGAGCCCCTCTCAGCCTTCTCAGCAGAGCCCACATGGGATGGCACCTGAGAAGAAGAAGACGCCGACACCGACGAACAGGCAGCAGCAGCAGCCAGCGGCGTCGGCCCAGAGTGCGGCGACGTGTAGTCGGGCAGGACAAAGCCCATGGACCCCAAGGAAAGCGTCTGACCCTCGGTGCTGAACCCTTCGGCACTGGAAGCAACAGGCTGCGCCCCAGTGTGCGTCTCCCGACGATCGCAGCCTCCACCTGAACGAGCAGGTCCGCCGATTGCTTCCATGTCCGAGGTAGCAGCTGTCCTCGGTGGTCCAGTGTGCGGCGACGTGTAGTCAGGCAGCACAAAGCCCATGGACTCCAAGGAGGTCGGCTGCACAGCAGCCGCTTCGCTCGCACCAACGGTGTCGTCCTGGAGTGCCAGGAACCTGGACAAGATGGCATCGAGCGACCTCCAGGCTCTCATCTTGTCCCCACTGCCAGACATAGCCGCCTTCTCCATAGAAACAGACAGAGGCACCTGCCGACGCTCGAACCCGTCAGCTCTGCCAACGAAGCCTTTCTGCCCAGCTCCGACGATGTCGAACTGGTTGCACAACTCCAGCTCCATGTTGCTCAGCCACTGGCACCACGCATCCTCCAGCTGAACCCCTGCGAGCACCCCTGCAGGCCAGGACCAACAGTGCTCGGCAGGCTTCCGCAAAGGCCCCGTCCGCAAAGCAGTGGGGAAGGGCTTCCATGTCCTGCGAACGTGGAGCGGGATGTTCAGCGTGGGGCCCTTGAGCTGCATGGCAACAGCGACGCGAGGCGACGAAGGGGCACCGTATATCGGGCGAACATCACTGACGAAGTTGGCCAACCCCTGACTCACAATGTAGTAGTCGATCGTGGACCCCGACTTGGACGCGAAGCAAGTAGGACCACTTGGGGCCACGATCGTGCCTTTCAGGAGCTCCACCCACTTGCACAACTTGAGATCATCTGGCGGCAAGTTGAAGCCCCCTTCAAGAATCCACGGTGACCTGGAACGGCGCAGAAAGACTCCCAAGGCCTCCAGCAAATCCCAGGTGAACACCTTGTCGGACGCGTCCACAAACCCGTAGACAGAGCCCAGCAGCAGGCCATGAGGGAAGGCCACGTTAGCCCGAATCAGCTTCAGCCTCGAGAAATAGCCGGCCTGGACGCCGAGATGCTTGAGGCTCAAACCTGCGAAAGCGATGTGTGACGAAACTGCCATCAGCACTCCACCTGACGACTCAGTGGCAAGCTCTCCCGTGGACCGCGCCCTGCCAAAGGCCCCGTGATAACCACGAGCTCGGAGCCAACCTGCTGCACTGCGAACTTTGGTGAGATCTTTCAACCGATGTTCCTGACCAAAACACACATGGGGCCGAGCGTCGACCCCCCAACTTCTCTGCCAGTCCAAGCAGCCCTGGAACGAGCTCCAGGCATTCGCGTTGACAGTCCACAGCCTCCACAGCTGCTGATCACGCGGTAGCCTGGCCACCTTGCTAAAGCCCCTGCCTGCGCCGCTTGACCCCGAGGGCCTCCTGGGCGCGCAGCAGCTGCCGCTTTGCGGCTGCCTGGGCTTCAGCTCCTTCAGCAGCTCGAAGGGCTTCTGCAGCGGCTCGGAACGCCTCCGCTCGAGCCTCGAAGTCGTCCCCATTGAGCTGCTCCACGTCGATGTCGTCTTCCCCTGCGGCCACATCGCCCCCAGGAGGCTCAGCAGCAGCAGGAGGAGCATTGTCGGACCCCCCTTGCGAGGGCCGCCCGAGCTTCGCGAGGATAATCGGCTTGAGTATCTCCCACTTGTCCGAACCGAGGAAGGCCTGCACTTCAGGATCCTGTGTCTCCTCGGGCTTGATCTCCAGCTTGACCGTGAACGACGGCTTCGGCTCCACATCGGACTGAGCAATGAGAGCAGCCGTCCGCTTGTACTCCGCATCGAGCTTATCAATCTCGAGCTTCTTCGCCTCCAGCTGCAGCCTGCGCTCGTCGAGCGCCTCTTGCAGCTTCTGCATCTGCGAGGCCTTCTCCTCAATCTCAGCCTCCATCTTTGCACGGGCCAGGCGGGCCTTGTGCAAGTCCTGGGCCGTCCTTCGATGAGCAATCGCTGGCGTGCGCAGCGCCTTCTGCTGCTCACGAATGTTCTTAATCTTCTCGATCGTCGCCGCTCGAATGGGATCATCATCGGGCCCAGGAAGACTCTTGAGCACCGACTCGTACTGCCCGAGCTGCGCTGCGAGCTTCTCACGCTTGACCTTCTCGTCATCAGACTCGAGCAACGGGCCCAGGTCCCACGTCTTAGAAGGCTGGGCCCACGGAGCCAAGGTCGGGCTGGCAGCAGGCGGCGGCTCCCCCTTGCTGCAGAACGACCTGATGAGCTTCTCCATCTCCGCGAGCCTCTTACTGGTGTCATCCTTATCTTTGTTCTTCGGTGGTGACGCCGCCGACTGACCAGATGGCAAGGCAGCGACAGCAACCTTGTGGGCCTTCCAGGCCTCGTTCCTGATCCGAAGCGGCGCCTCATTCCCGCACTGGCAGCGAATGCGAGATGCCCAGTTCGCCGCCGCTGAGCACCTCCCGCACGCCCAAAAGGGCCGCCGCGGCCCACGGAGCACCGTGGGAGTGGGCGGCGGCTCGGGCGCCATCGCTGCACCTTCCTCGTCGTGAATCACTGCGCTCCCTGGGAGCAATCGCACACGAACGTGCCAAGTTAGCTCGCTGCAGCGGCGCCGTTCTGAAGACAG